TAATAGTTTATAAAAAGCAATTTTAAATTCTGCTTGTAGAGCTTGATGAATTGTTAGTATCAATAAATTACCATCTGTGCAGACTTCTGTTGAAACAAAAACTTGGGGTGGGGGATGGGGACAGGACCTTCCTCCACGGTGATGCTCCATGTCAAAGTAAGGTACTCTGAATGACTAAGTCTTCACATGAACAAGATCAAGACTTGCTTCATCAAGATCAAGACACTGCTCTATCTCCAACTGGTTTATAAAAACCCAAAGCATTTTGGAAATAAGCTTAAAAGACCATCCTTAAAGCCTATGACAAAGGACACACTAAAGCAGCATTTTCAATCCCAGCTCATTCACTTTCAGATGAAAAGTTCCTCTCAAGAATTCTGATCCTTGACTGCAACAGTCTTACACCAGGCCATGATCAATCCACTGAGATAACACTCTGTTGAGACCAAAGAGTAGAGTTCCCACATTAGGATGGGGTGAAGAGTCAGTCACTAAAAATCCAAGATCAAAATCACAAAGGCTTTGTATAGGTGCAACAGGATACATAACTACAGCTGTGTGGGCCAGCAGCAAGCTACCAGGATGATCATGCATTTGTGTCAATATTTTCCCATTAGCCTGGGTCCTGCCAAGAGCCCACAGACAGGGGAGAGGGAGACAAATGCAAACCTTTACAGAAACTGTGCACAAACTAACCATGTCCTCTGTCTGTTGTCTAAGAAGAATAAAAGGTACATCTGAGAAAGGATACATGCATTTTGGGAACAAGGATGAACAGTCCGAATCTTAACTAGAATAAATATCATATCAGTAGTTCTGTTCTTTTTTTCACTACATAAAGAGGCATTAGTTATGTCAAACCTTACCTAAGAAGTGGTAAGCTTCGACACTCCTTCTGTTCTTGCAATTTTTTATAAAACATCCACTATCATGAAGGCCGTATTAGGCCAAGTAGAATGCCACATTAATTCTGACCCCATATAAGGACAGCTTCCCCTTTTTTTTGCTCAGAGGTGTAAAGATCACAATCACAGAACGGATACATGCAGAAACATAGCAGGAGTAGTCTGCAGAGATTACAAAGTCTCAATTTAGTTTCTTCTTAGAGTTGAACAGAGAAATTTTACCAGAAGGCCACACAGTAGTCTTTGCTGATGCAAGTAGGCCATGTCATCATCTCACACTATACTGATACAACCTTGCATCAATAAAATATTACAGCATGATTATGACAGTCATCACACCCAATGCTCTAAGTGACAAATTGAATTTATGAAGATTAGAGAATACTATTGGTGAATGACAATGGACATAATCTTTCAATAATTCAGCACGAGCCAGATCCACAGCTCATTCACAAAATTCAAGATGCTGTGTGAGATAAAGCATGGTGTAAGTCCAGGTTAAAAATAATAAGAAGAAAACACCAGGGAATTGACAAAGTTGTCCTACAAAAGGACAAGACAGATGAATTAAGGAGGATGGTATTTTTGTCAGTCTATTTGAGATGGGGGAAAACCAGGCATTTTATGGGCATTTATCTACAGACGGTACAAACAAAGCAAGGCTTTGCTACAGACAGCTTTGGCAATGCCTTCATTATGATCAACGAGGTCCAAAACAAACTCAGAACTTCCACTTACAGGATGAATTGTCTGTATTACAACACCTAGATGTCCTTCCTCTGACCTGCCTCATGCTTCAGATGGCTTGGACAACTGCCTCAATGTACCTTAACCAAAGGCTAAAACTGGCCTCAGCAAGACAAGGAGGCTGAAATTAGGACAATATTATATTTTCCTTCAAGGGAACAGATAGGACTATGGATGCAAAAATGCAAACAAGGTATGGAGGATTTATATACATGACTTGGAACAAAGAAGGGAAGCTGCAGGTAAGCAAAGAAAGCAACAACTGAGGCAAAGCTGATACTCCTTTGCTGCACTGGACTGTTTCAATCAACCACACACAAAATACAGAAAGTGATCTGAGAAGCAGCAGCAACACGTACACATTCCAGAAAACAACTCATCAACAGAATACAGAAGCCTACAGGATTCTCAGCTCAGCTCAGGGGAGACCATCCAAAAAAACCCAAAAAAGCCAAATCACAAACCCAACACTAAGGCAGGGCATTGCCACTACATTATCTTCAATGTTTTACATGTGCTAAACCAAGAAGAAACAGCTACACTAACAGAGCAGCTGAGTAGTATTTTCACTTTCAGATAAATCAGTAAAACCAAGCTTCTTTCATTCAGATATTTTTCAGTTAATCAGGACTCCATCTCTCCCAACTGAGGAAGATCTCAAAGGGCCATGCCTCCTGGGAAGCACCTGTAACTCGATCTTTAATGGCTTTGGATCGTATTTTGTTTCATCAGCCTGACTATTGTCTGACTTCCAGGACTGTATGCTGTTTCCTCAACATTTTTTATATTATGTGATATTTGTAACACTGGGGTTTGTCCAGTTTCACAACGCTATCTTTAGAAATGCACACTAATTAAAAGAAAAAAAAGAAAGGAAGTGCTTAAAGCTAGACATATATATGCCATAGCTGCAAGCCAGGCCATACATTTTCACTGATTAAACAGTAGCAGAGCAACATCTCTTTCCAGGAAGACTGAAGTTTAACAAGCTTTGACAGCTTAACAAGGCCCACAGAATGTAAAAATAAAAACAAGGAAGCCACCACATACATGTAGGAGTACCACAATAGACCTAAAACCAGCGAGTCACAAGCATTCAGGCACAGAAGCCTGATGAAGCTAACACCAGAGGGAAAAAGCACTTATACTTTTTGCAACTGAAAAGTTAGT